GATTAGGCAGGTTATTGAACTCCATGTCGCCTCTAGCATGTCGTTTTTTCAAAGATGGGTCCCATATAAACGCGGCCAGAAGTAGTTTCAATACTAAAAAAATAGCAGGTTTAGTCGTGACTGACAAAGTTAAGAAAAAAACTAAAGTCAATAATCACCACACAGGCTAATAAAACTACTTTTTCAAATTTGTAAGTTTGACTGAGTCAATTAGCAAAAACGACATCCTCTGCACAAAAAGGCCTTAAAACTAGCATCATATGACATTGGAATACAAAGAAATTTCCTTTATAAAATATTAATATACATATCCAACGACATTACTTTTTTACTCAGTCACTATTTAATCAAACAGTGACTCAGTCAAAAACAACAATGTAGAAATTGTCTTAGTAAATTTTATTTTTTTTGTTTTAAAAAAAGTAATGTCGTTGGATATGTATTTTAATATTATATAAAGGAAATTTCTTTGTATTCCAATGTCATATGATGCTAGCCTTAAGGCCTTTTGTGCAGAGGATGTTGTTTTTGCCAATTGACTTAGTCAAACTTACAAATTTGAAAAAGTAGTTTTATTAGCCTGACAATGTGTGTTATTGACTTCATCCTCACTAAAAATTTTGAGTTATTTTTTACATATAGTTTTCGCTAGGACTTTTTGATATAAGCGGCAACGTCGCAATGCTGAAAGTATTTTAGATCGATAGAACACGTAGGAAAATCTATGACGACAAAATTTCAGAAAAATCCTGCATCCCGTTTTCCATAAACGTCTAACCTAGCACCGACCGTGAATCAGCCTGTATACTTAATAATAAATAAATCAGTTTATTATAGTAAACACCACCGAAATATGGACTTGCATAACACCACAGTTTATTTGGATTAAATATCACCTTATAGCAAAGTTTACAGCTTACAGTTTGGGCAAATGGGTTAAATCAGCTAAAATTGTTGAAATTAATATAAGCAGCGACCTTTATTGTTCAATTAAAACAATGATGTTTTCTAATTTGATGCATTGAGTTTTAACATAACATCTCCGATAACATTACTTTTTTAATTTTTAGTAATCAAAATTTAATTATATTCCTGCTTGTAGTGGGTAAAATAAGTAGGTGCCTACATAGCAATACGCCCGTACTATGCAACTATGCACAATTCGGTATATAGCTAAATTGTTTCTTATCACAAATCTTTTCCTTGCATTTTTTGTTTATCATAATCTCAATAAGAAACGGACTCGGTGTGTATTGAGTTTGCGAATTTTATTATAAACAATTAATTTTTTCTATGTAATGTGTGATAATATACTGTTTATATCAAAAGTCTGGAACTCATCGAATATCTGACGAATTGCTCATATAATTTTTTAAAAAATTGGTTAGATTAAGTTCGAAATTACGGCGGATCCATTAGAGATATTGACGTTGCCAGGTCTACAGTTTTTGAGAATCTAATAGCAACTTTTGTTTTTGTTATGAAACGCTCTGGGTTTTATTCGATATTTGGATTCTGAGAAAAACTCTACTTTTTATTAAACATACTTTTATTTAAACTTTATAATTTTCGAAGTATTCGCAAACATTAACATTTAAACAATAAATGGTGTTTTTTTTATCTAACAGACCGACCGACGGATAGTGACAGATTTTGGGCCACGATTTGAGGCAGTATGCTTTTTAGGGGATAATATTATACATACATACATTCTTGTGTTAATAATGCATGAATCAAAGAGTTATCATTTGTTCTTCATATTAACAAACGATCCTTCATTTTTCGAAAATTATGTATTTAATACGATTATAATCCGACCAGGAATTTTGATTTTTAATGAAATTCAAAATCAAAATTCCTGGAAACTCTTCATTGGCAACCTGTTTAAAAACGCGAAATATTCCCTTATTCAAACACAAGTTCACATAAATGGTATGCCTATGGTTTGTCAGGATTTTTTAGTTTGAATTTCATTACAAAACACAGGATAGCCAGATAAAGTCTATCAAAGACATATTTTTCGAACAACAATGACGATTCAGTTTTAATATGAAGAACACAATCATGATAACACTTTGATTCATACATTACTAACAAGGCTGTACGTATCAGGGGCGGATCCAGGAATTTATTTTAGGGGGGTCCCAAATAAAAATTAATACGCGGCAAAAGCCTAATATTTAACCCAATTTATAGTTTAGAAGGTTAGTTTTTATTTTTTAGATAGTTTTTATTTTTTAGAAGGGGCCTTGGCGCCATGGGCCCCCACTCTGTATCCGCCACTGATACGTATAATACTATCCTCTAAAAGGCATATCCGGCCTGCATGCCTATAATCGTGTCCCAAAATCTGACACCATTCCTCGGTCTATAAGTGAGAGCCACTGTGTCACTGAAAACATTAAATATATCCGAAAAAAATATATTATTATGTTATAAATCTTATTATCAATTTACAACAAGTAGGCTTTGGAGCATCACAAAACAAAAACAAAACGTTGCAAAGTTTCAATTGCAAATTGCAAAACGTTGCAAAACCTTGCAAAACGTTGTATTAGGGTTGTTTTGTTAAAATATATTTTCAAAAAAAAAACTTTTAAATTTATGAACGATTTTAAAAGAAATGTAGTAATATCTTATTTTTTTTATACATGTCATTAGCTTAGGTGGTCTTTATACTTTTATGTCGCGCAAAAAAAATATGTCCCAAACTGCCATCACCCTGTGTGGTATTGTTCTGGTGGATACACAGTCCCACAGTCCGGCAATAGTGCGTCAGGAATGTATAGCTCCTAGAAGTTACAACGTAAGTTGATAAAATATTGTATTTCCAAAATAATTACAAATAAAATTAAGGTACAGCTGTTATCATATTTTTAATCAATTGCCTCAAAAGTCTTAAAAAACGATTTTTAAGAAAAAACTAGTTTTATAAAAAGTTGATTACTTTCTTACTTTTGGGATACCCTGTATAATAAAAATTTTCTCATTTTTGATGCTTCTAGGCTCATACGTTTTTGGACACTAGTTAAGGTGTGCCTTTAACCTGAATCTGCGAAAATATGTTTTTACATAAGTGCGTTAATATTGTAACACCCTGTATAAACCATTTCCTATGGGCTAATAATTGTTAATTTTTTCATATTTTGAATTGATTTTGTGATTTTAACACTAATTCATAATAAATAATACTAAATAATATCTATGAGCAAAATAATTTTTCCATAAAATAGGGTCCGCTGGCCCTCTGTGCGCCGCTGAAAAACTGTAGACTTGGTAACGTCGGCGTCGCTGTCGGGGATATTACTCACACAATCCGTCGTCATTTCGAACTTGAATCAATTTTTTTAAAAATTGGATGGGTAATTCGTCAGATATTCAATGCGTTCCAGACTTTTGTTATACTCTGTATAATTGGTTAGTTTGTGTTTGGATTTGTTGCTCATTCACATTTTCATCTTTAACAGAAATAAATAATGTACAGGTAAATTTAATAAGTTTGACTAGCGAATTTATGTGTTTTTATGGAAGCCGATATATTCCTACTTCAACTTTATGATAGAAAGTATATAAATTTTTACACCCTGTAATGTTTTTTAGAACACGTACAGAGAACTTAATGTCATACTAATTTATCACTAACTCAAACAAAATAATAATAATTAATTAATTGTTGTTCCAGAAATATATAGAAATTGCCATCAGTTTGCGTCACAGAAGAGCAATAACATTAGGTCCCATAGACAAATCAAAATTATTATTTTTTGACATAGACTAAGACATTACGTTGCCTCTAAATGTTTTAAAGTAAATAGACAACGATTACAGGGTAAAAAAAAAAAATATAAATTTTCTATCAAAAAAAAAGATTTTAAAAATTTCAAAAAAATCTTTTTGCTGAGATGGTAGTTTTCCTAAACCTGTTATAAATTTCCGCCCTATCACTGCAATAGAAGAAGCTTTAAGATGGGACTGAAAATTTGGCACGTAAAATCTTATGACCCGCGATAAAAAAACGCACTGCACCTATACTCTATTATTATACATATACGAGTAGTAAAAAAGCTCCACTACTTCACTAAGTAGGTACTTACTTTTTTATTTTTCACTTGTTTTATTAAAGATAACCCTTGTTTGTAATTCTGGTATCACTAATTTCGAAGAAACAGGTTTTTCGGTTTATTTTAACATACGCAACACTTCTTACTTTTATTTTTGGTTGTTTTATTTAACAGTACCTATCGTCGGAGACGAATAAAATAAAATAAAATATTCATGAAATATAACACACACCCTATTAGCTTCACGGCTTATACAATCGAATAAATCACATAATATTTCTCTCACCTACACACTTGACTTAAAACTCAAAAAGTACCCACCAATATCTTAAACCTAACAGATTTTAATTAATTTTCAACACTTTTAAAACTTCCAATCGTATTTTAACATTATGGATCATTTTATTTACGACCTCTACCTCATTTCGGCCTTCGAATGTCCTTGCCCTATTACATTTTCCTAACGCCGGCTAAACTATCGACGTGTTGACAGGCAGGTTATCGAACCCATGTTGGCTCGAGCATGTCGTTTTTTCGAAGATGGGTCCCATATAAACGCGGCCAGAAGTATTTTCAATACTAAAAACGAAAATTGATTGATAAATGAAATGTAAGTAGCAGTAGTGTGTGTGTGTGTGTCGTCCATTTCAAAACATATGGATCGAAATGTACGGGATTGTTGACAGAAACAACAGATTCTTATCTTTTCTTAGTCTCTACTTTTGTGATGTGTGACACTCCAAAATTATGTTTCGATTTTTTAAAATTTTGAAACAAAGAGGTCAAAAGATTCGCCATCACTGCTCTATGGCATTTCTCTCGGCACTCCGGCATCGCTTTTCTTAATTGATAATGTAATTTACCGTCCGTATCGGAGTAGTTCGCAGCGGCCCAAAATCAATTTCACCCCCACCCTCGGCGGGCGGCTTTGTCTCTTACCTGGAGGCGATATCCGGCGCAGATATGTGTTCTGATAGTCGGCGAAAGGCGAGGCCGAATCGTGATCTCGTATCATCGTGACAAAGAGATATGGCCGGAGGATGTCGATGGTGGTGGAAGCGCAGCAGATGGTGCTGATATGGTCATTGATAGGGTTGAAGATTAACGCCGGCTTCGTAAGAGAAAACCATCTGTAATAAAAAAAACACATTGTAATATGTAATACTGGTCTGCAAAAAAATGTTTTTCTTTCTCCTTCTTGTTTTCATGCATGAATTCATCATATTTTGTGCTCTCAACACGGACAAAATTGACATACAAATAACAAATAAGTACCATACATAGATTTTCGATATAATATTTATTTAATTAAAAATCGATATTATTAAAGTATCAATTATCATATGGAAATCAGAAAATATTACGGTCTAAGGTTTACAGTGAATAATCCTAAATTATACTCACAAAATGAATAAATATCGGTCAGTTATCTCATTATATGGTGATAAGATTTGTTATTTTGTAGTTTTTTTCCTTTTAATCGTTTCCATTGGAGCTTTTTGGCGAATTGACCAACAAAAATCAGCAAGCATTGCTGCTAACCATTTCCCACTGTAGCGTTTTGCAGCCTGCATTATATCCTGATGAAACCTTTTACCATGCTCATTTGATACGGCTCCAAGATTTTCATTAAAGAAATCTAACTGTGAATCCAAAAAATTAATCTTGAGTGACATATTACATCCTAAAGCTTTATAAGCAGAAAGAAGCTCCCGAATGATTTGTCGGTAGTTGTCACCCTTTGTATTCCCAAGAAAACTATGACCTACTTCCACAAACGCCACCATAGCTCTTTTTTTCTGCTTTGCTCAACTTCAAATCAAAAGCTTTATCATTATCATTCATTAGTTCACGTATCTGCGGACAAAAATTTCTTCCTTGAATTTTGCGTCACCGATTCGAAGAAATTTTGTTTTTAGATATTGAAAATCTGTACCATCTTTATTCATAGCTTTCACAAAGTTTTTCATGAGTCCCAACTTTACGTGAAGTGGTGGCAGAAAAATGTTCTCACTTGGCACTAAAGGTTTCTGAGATACATTTTTGAGCCCAGGAATTAAACTTTTTCTTAGTGGCCAAGTTTTTATTCTGTATTTCACTCACAAAGAAAACAGCAAAACTTTGTGTATCCTCCTTGTAATTCAGTAGGTATAGCGACGACTTTTAAATCAGCACAAATATTCGATAGGTATTGAGAATATTCAATTTTTTCCAAGTCTAAAAAAATATTGAAGAATCTAGACGTGATGGAAAAAATCGGCCAACAGGGATAGATTCGGAACATTTGAATCGTCATATTTATGACAAAAATTTTTAAAGGAGGATTTCATTGCAGACCAGTGTAATCGATAATTTACAGAACTTTTATTGAAGTGAAACTTTTTTACGTGCTCCTGTAGTAAAAATTCAAGGCCGTGACACACGGGATAGCGTCACGAAAAGCGATAATGATCGAAAAAGTGGCGAGCCAATGAGGAAGTTGGGATGAGTCTTTGGAGCGTCATAACTCGGGCCCTATGTGAGCTAGGGGGCTGAAACTCGGACTGTAGATTTTGACGACGTTTCGTGCACTATGAAACCCCATCATCAATGGCGAAAAAATCGTATAATGAAATTTGGTTTGTCGATAGATTCGACCAAGGCCAACTTGTCCGTGTACGACATGTGTCACTGTGATAGTTTTGACGTAAGAAACGTCAAAAGTTGATGTCGTCCGATCGCGACCAAATTTGGTGGGTAGGCTATGTGAGCGACGGTGTACACAGTCCCACCCTGCAAATTTGGATACGGCGTTTCGTTTACATCTTTATCAGGGTAGGACTAAGCATTTGATATTGAAGAAAAATGTGTTTCGTTTTCGGAATAATTGGGGACGGGCTACAGGATGACACCCTTGACGTTTCGAACCGATGCCGCGATGCCTCTAAATGGGCGAAATCATCAGGATTTTTCTTATTTGTGGGCCTATTGGAACCAAACTCGGCATGCGGTTGGAGTACCGAATGGAGTCTTCAGACGGACAGACGGACATTTTAATACAAATTTTGTGAAAGTGACTCAAATTATTGATTAATTTTTTAATTTATTACTTTTTCAAACATGTCTTTCAAATAATTCGAATTAATAGCTGTTAGTAAGAAGTTTCACTTCTTACTAAGAGCTATTAGCTTTTTTCGTTTTCCTGTTATTACCGATTCTGAACCGTCCTAGAACTGTGATGCGTATGCGCAGAAGGAAATATGAAGGCATTATTTCATTTGCGCATGCGCTGCAGGGTTCTAGGTTCAGAATCGGTAATAACAGGAAAACAAAAAAAGCTATTAATTCATATGCGCACATAGTGCAAATATAATTTTTTTTAATAAATATATAGAGAGAGAGAGAGAGAGAGAGAGAGAGAGAGAGAAGTAAGTAAATAAAAAAAGTACGTTATTTTTTTATTCTCTGAAAAATTATATGTAAATAAAAAACGTAAAAAATGCCAATGTTTTAAAAAACATTATGGATTGTCAATTGATTCCTGTAATTTCCTTTAATATTTCAGACTGTCAAAGGCCTGATGTAATATTTAATCCTCGAACGCCTTCAAATCTTATAGATCGATTAACTAAATAGGGAGAGAGTGAGAGCAAAAGAGATGCCTAAAAGGCATCTGAGAGAGAGGTGGTTAAACTAAAATAGACGGAGGCGCCGGGGACCCTTCAATACATTAAAACTTCGGTCAAAGCGGAGCGTAGTACAGCGCCGGCTAATGACGTAATTCGAAGTTTGATTTTCCGGAGACGTTAGGAAGTGATAGGGTGCGGATGGCACAGTGAAAATAAATCCAGCCCAGTCGAGAAGAGAACTAAAATAATGAGTGTTTAAAAAGTTTAAACAGCAGTTTTTTGAATTTTGGATTTTGATATTTGTTATTTTTTTCAAGTATTATTTTCAGAACGTTGTCCCATTTCAGTGTGTTTTACAGGGTTTCTTGATGATGAATAGAGATACAAAGATGCGGTTCACATTACTCTGTTACTGCTCTTCGTCCTACACTGAAAAAAAGGATCTCTCAGTCCAATTGAATATAACTTTGACCTAAAAGATTGGCGCTTTTCAAAGGGCCAAGAACAACATTTCTTTGTCCAAAACATTAACTATCTTTTCATAAGCTTTAAAAAATTACTTTAGAGAATAGAAGAATCTATCAGTCCAAAGTAATTCACTCTTGACCCAAAATGAATATGCAAACAAGTTCTTGCTACAAGAACAATAGTCTCTTTGATACATGCAAAAATTCTTGATTGAAAAGGGACCATTTCTTTATTAAAGATACACTTTTCTTAAACCAATAGCGAATACTATTGACTCAACTAAATTTTATTTTGATCTAAGAGAACAGGCATATTACGAGGTATATTATTTTCTGATAAATTTAGGTTTTCCTAGTCTGTAGTAAGTAAAGTGATATTATTTTCCTCGATATATATTATTTCTGCTTCTTCACTCCTTGAGGTATTTTTTGGGGTGATTCATCAGTCTACAAATTACAAAAAAATGTTAAATCACGATTAATCAAAATAAAGCAAATAAATTATTAAAATTATAAGCTTTAGTCACATTTTGAATTTTTTAATATGACGATTTGAAATTCTAAAATTTTTGTAATTATTTGCATAAAAAAGTCGATACCTATATTCTTATTCTATCTGTAGTCATGCATATAGCAAATAAATTCTCTAATTTCCATTTTTTCGGAAACTCCTTTAAAGAATCCATATATCCTAAAATTTGTCCATAAAAAATGACAAATGCATGTTAATAACGATCACTAATTTGTTATACGATATGCGTTTAAAAAGCAAATTGTGCAAAATTCCAAGTGGTAAATTCCAAGCAACAAAACCCATACGTACTATGATGTGCGACCTATGAAATGCGACGTACGACTGATCTAACTGCCGACTGATTGTATATACCGTCGTTCGTCATCGTCTTTGCGCCTCGTTATTATTTTTCATCAAAAGTGTATTTAGCTATTAGCTATTGGAAAAATGACCATGTTTCTTAAATGAAGTACTTCCTAGCGTATTTTTCTTATTATCTCAAAACAAAGTAACTTGCACTTGGTTGAATGAAAATAGATTCAAGAGACATTTTCGAATTTTTCAACAGAACCAGTTTTCTTGACTTAAAAGAGTTTTTCTTCAGGCAAAATATTTTCTTTTACGCTAAAATAAATTCTCTTGCCACTAAATTTTTTTTCAAGAACGATGACGACTTTAGTTCAAGTCTATCTTTTTTATCAGTGTACGTATGCGACAAAAGCGTGCGATACGGACGATTCGACCGACACGTGTTTTTTCAGATAACGTTTTTTTTATGAAATCGTCCTGCGTCGGCAATGCAGGATACTTTCATAAGCATAGATAACAGAGCTAATTCATAAGAAAGTATTCATTTTTCATAAGAAAACGCTTTTCGATAACGTCGCATCGGTCGCATCGCCCGTATCGTGCGCTTTTCTCGCACACGTAGGGTGAAGCCTTAAGACTTACGACAGAGCAAAATAAAAAAAATTCTTAATTTAAGTAAGAGCAATCTTCGTACTGTCACGGGGTTTTGAACAAGATACTGTCTCCTTAATAAACACCTAGGTAGATTGAATTATTGTGCCCTCCTTTCTTCAGTTATAACTCATTATACAGTTTTAGGGCTTTGATAAAAACCTCTATCTGGGACGGTTTTACAGATATAAAAAAGGATAAAGGTGTTGTGGTTCAGGTCCGCCCGAGTCAGGATTTTTAGTCTCGGCCGAGACCGAGAGGAAAAGAAATTCTCGGCCGAGAACGAGACCTAGAACGAGACTGAGACCGAGATCGAGACACGATGCAATATCTATTTAATAGTATATTATATGAAAAACGTTATTTTCATGCAGACACGGTTTTATTGAGATTTAATACTATAAAATTACTAATACAAATACATTACTTTTTTAGCCTTTAACATAGACTAAAAAAGTATTTTTTCAGTATTGCATACTTTCAAATTATGCAATATTTCATCATATTCTTTCTAAATACGAGCCCTAATAACTAAATGTTCGGACAAACAAAAATTTATTAAAAATTTTTAT